CCAGCCACCTTTCAGCAATTCGGGCTTCAAAACTTGCAGTAGTTCGGGGATCATGCTGTAATCCGGAATTAGGTCGTCTCCGGTTTAGCCGTGAGGTTCAGGGTTCATGCATATGCTTGAGTAACAAGAAGAAAAAAGAATCAGACAAAAAGAAAGCAAAAGCCATAGAAACACACGAGGTTTGGCGTGTTGGCTTTCTGCTGGACATCTCAGTGCTTGGGGGGAAGATGAATTCTGGTTGTTGAGTTGCATCCGCCACTGCCCCAATCTACAAACATCCCACGGGCCCTGAACAAATTAAATGCCAAAAGGCTAGCAACACTTATAAGGGCCTACGATGCCCTACGTGACGACCGCATGCAGGACGCTGTCCATGCCCCCACTCATGATGTGGATGCCCCTGTGGCACTCGAGAAGCAGGTCGCTGTAAGAGCTTTGAGCTCCAAGATAGGAAAATATGTGGGTAATTCGCTAAAGTAGGGTCCCTTTTTGGGTCGCAAATATAGTACGGAACCCCTATAAGAAGGACCCTAAAAGGGACCCCAATGTAGAGAACTACCCACATGCGGTCATTGGGCATGATGTTGCTGAAAAAGAGCGCTAACAGTCATTTCCTGATCGTCGTCATCACCATCTCCAGCATTCCGCACCCATGACTGCTGTCAATCAGAGATATAAGTGATATAAAGCATCGGTGAATATTGCCATAAGATTGCAATACCCGTTGAAGTCAAGCTACGCCTACGTATTCTGCGTGCTAAACAGGCCAACACTTACCCTTATAAGGCTCTAAGGACTTACATTTTAAGGCTTTCGGGCCAAAAGACCATACTATATAAGGCTTTTGGGCTATGCTGAGCCTTAGGGTTAGACGTCGGCTTGAACATCCGGTTTTTCTATGCAGTCGAAGGCGAGGCAGTAGACAGAGCCGCCTTGACCCTTCGCCTACAAACACTGGCTTGTGGGCTTACCCTAAGGGTCCAAGTAGTCCTTATCTAAGGACTTTGGCGGCGTTTATGGGCACAAAAAAACCATAAGTAAGGACTACTTGGACCCTTAGGGTTAGTGTTTAGGGAACATCTGGTAGCCTCAATCGTGCTGTTCTTCTTGCAACTGTTGTTCAAGTTGTTGATTGTGAGGCACTATGAACAAAAGGAACCTTCCACTAGCATCAGCCTTAGCTTAGCTAAATCGTCCTCACCCTAAGATCCCGAAGGCCATGTACTTACCCTAAGTCCAGGCCCTTCAGCCCCGACTCAAACCACGAACACAAAAAGCTTGGAGCCCCGGCAGGGGCAGGTAAAGTAACACTGTTGACCGCTGCATTGCCCGGGAGTGGGTCGTACCCAAAACTCCGGCAACTTTTCTCTGATCGACTTGAGCTATGGGCTGAAAGTTCATTGCGAAAGGTACCATCGTGATGCTGCTTGGCTTCGTGCTTTCGGAAGCACCCACATACGAAAAATGAGCTGACTTCTGCTCTGAATAATTCATGTCATGCCATGGTACCTCGGTCCCTTGGATCCCAAAAAAGCAGCAGCAGGGTGAAGAAATGCTTGCGAATCTCGCCTGTTTCAGCTTTGATCATGGTCTCAACCGGGCAGAGCTAGACCTCCTTATATACCCCGTAGGTCCCATCTCTACTCCGGCGCGATGCCCACGGATAGTTCGGCTCCAGCCTACATACCCTGCTCGCATCCCCACAACAGTCCATAGGCTTCGAACAATCATGCACTAGCAGAAGCCGGGCTCGTTGCGATCCATTCCCGTGCCTTCAGGCCGAGTTCAACACCTGAGCTTCCAAAACTAGGGCTGCAAGGGTTCGTGGCTCAGGATGCAAAAGCTGCAGTTTGTAGCACTTAGCTCTGTGCTTTGCGTTGAGGGCTGCAGGATCAGTCAGGATGTGTTGTTGAAGGTTCCGGCTTGAAGATCTATCTGCACCTAAACCCTAAACCCCCAAACCCCTAAACCCCTAAACCCCTAAACGCCTAAACCCCTAAACCCCTAAACCCCCAAACCCCTATATAAACCTAAACCCCTAAACTTTAAACCCCTAAACCCCTAAACTTTAAGCCCCAGGGTTTAGAGCTTCCAAGGCTCGGGGCCTCACTGGTTCCCGGTCTCGCAGGATGACAAAGCATCCGATTTTAGGAGGTTTAGGGTTTAGGGTTTTGTTGATGAAAGGCCTCCACTTTGTGCAGAGCTGGGTCGCACTGTGTATGTGCAGCTGTAACATATGCCATTTTGGCTACAGGCAACGGCTACGAAAGGGCCTTGAGTCAACTGTAAAGAACCTAGAAACCAGTGACCATTTGTACAACCCGAGGTCACAGACTAGGATGACTCAGACATGCCGAGAAGTGTACGTGCTGTGTTAAAAAGTTAGTGATTGCCCCGCGCGCTCTCAATGGAAGCATAAGACGTGGGACGGAATCTAGCTGGTGTGGAAACTGGCTATTTGTAGGTTATGAGCGCCCAAACCGGAGAGACCACTGGGCAGCTGCCGAATGGTACAGGAGTCAGCAGAGCTCTGGATCATAGTTCGGCGGCGGTTGGGGCTGAAGTGGAGCCCTCTTCAGAGAATGTGGTGGATGGCCAGCAGCAACAGACGAGAGACGTGGGGTCCGAGAGGGATATGCGTCCAGAGTTGCAAGCAACGGCTCGCACGGATGCTCCTTCGCAGTCAGAGACCACAGCCGAGCATGCGCAGGCGAGGCTAGAAGAAGCTTCGACGACGCTGGATTTGGGTGGGCGATCTGGTGCAGAGCAACGAGGATCTGGTGAGAGGCCGGGAGCTGTGCAAAGCGGCTATCTAACACCAAGGGCAGGACCCTTGGAGATGGATGGTGAAGTTGGGAAATCTGCTCAACGGAGGGACGGGCCTTACCTCTGCAGAGCTGGCCCCTAGCCCGTACCCTGGAGCGTCACCGCTTTACTCGACGCCTCCGGGGGGCGCAACTTTTAGACTGAGGTCACCGGCGAAGGCTCGGCCGATACCAGCAGCTCCGACTCCTCCCTCATCGTCAAGTCTCCCAGCAGAAGCTATACAGGCTGAAGTACAGCGTCAACTGCAAGGTGTAATGGTGCAGCTGAAGCAGTATGGAGATCGCAATGAGCAATTGCAGTGTGAACTTGATGATGCGAGGAGACAGTTGCGTGAGTTGCGGCGTGATGAGTATATGCAAGAGGCTGGTGGTGCAGTACCACGAGGATTGCTAGGTGATCTTGCTACAGCTCCATTAGATCCTGGGCTACTTCCCGGCTTTCCAGAATCCCAAGGAGATGCTATGGGCAATATAGTACAGCCTAAGGTACCGCAGGGTCCATGTCTACGACAGGAAGATTATAGCCGGGGAAGAGAAGCAGATGTACGTCCTAGCGTTCCACGAGCCTCAGATGTAAATATCGGGAGAGAAGAGTCCTATGGCCCTCAAGGTATTCATCACTCTTCCCCTCCTGAGCTTGAGCCAAAGGCTGCGATGGATCAGGGAGCACCTGGACTCCTACGGTCGGTGGTGGGGCACCAAGCCTCGCAGCCAGACGCCTCCACAGGTTCGGGAATCAAGGGAGAACTCTGGGTCTTCTGCTTTGGAGGTGATTACCAAGGCCATGCAACAACTCCAAGAATTACAGGCCCAGGCACTATCAAAGAGCTCTATGTCGACTGCATCCACCGAGCTCATCAAGCCAGGCTCGTCCTCACTCACGGCTTTGGCAAGTCTATCAGGAGGTTGTGAAGCTGCACTCGCGTTTCAAGATTGGATGGAAGTATCTTCATCTACACTGTCTGATGTGAGTGAACAGAGTGGCGTATGGTGGGCAGCAGTTGTGGGAACAGTTACCAATACATATGAGCGTTGGTTGCAAGCAACTCCACTGGAAAGGCTGGGTATAAGTCCAGAAGGCCATGATGTATTAGTTACAGGCAAGTGGGCACGACTCAACGCGCGTGTGGCATCCATACGGTTGTCTGCAATGAGCTCAGAGCTACGTGCAGAGATGGTGGCACAGAGGTTATCGCAAAATTCAGTCAGAATGGTCTATAGGCTTCATACCCTTTATCAGCCAGGTGGGTCAGCAGAGCGATCAGATGTACTACGGCGTTTACAGAATCCCAAGGAGAACCTCAGCAGCGATTCTCTGGATGAGGTGCTGAGAACTATTCGGGCGTGGCCGAGGTGGTTAGCAAGATGCCAGGCAGTGAACATGAGCCGGCCCGTGGGCTGATGACCTTGACTGATTGCCACATCAACCGATCACCCGATGCGGCGTTCCGAACGTCAATGGTTCGCACTTCCCTGCGGCTGGATGGACAGCCCTCCCTGGAGAATGTGAGAAGTTACCAGCGGCATTTGCAAGCTGAGCTTGAAACGCTATTGTCGAGTACTACGGCATCATCGACGGCTACGACACCAAAGATTAAGGCTGTCGATGGTACTTTGCAGCCAAAGGCACGAGATGCTGGAAGGTCGAGTAGCGAGCTTTGCAAGTATTTCGCAAAGGCATCCGGTTGTAAGCGGGGCGAGAAGTGCAATTACAGTCATAGCATGAGTGGGATGGAGAAAGAACTCCGTGCGAAGAAGTGTCTTAGATGTGGTGCTGAAAGCCACCGCCAGAAAGACTGTCAGGTTGGAAGAGCACAGCCCAAAGGTGGGGCTAAGGAGCAAGCTGGCAGCAAGGCATCATCCCCAGGAGGAGCGGCAGTGGTCCCAACCGCGGTGGCTACAATCGGGACCTCCAATGCGGGGACTCTCCAGTCCGAGCCAATCCATGGCACCCCATGGACCATGGAGTCGCTGATTCAAGCTGCTCAACAGGTGGTTCAAAACCAGGCGGCCGAAGAGTCTCGGGAGGGTTCGCCTGAGAAAACAAAGGCGGAAGTTCGTGTACTGAAGCTGAGAGATATCCATGTATGTTCACAGCGTGAGGCTACAACTGCATTGCTGGACAGCGGTGCTACACACAGTCTCCGAGCTGCAAGCAATCCGGAAGAATGGCAGGCTGCAGAGGAGGTGGCAGTGCAGTTGGCGGGCAACCACCAGTTGAGTATGAGGATAACAACTTCAGGCACGTTATTAATGCCATACAGAGATCCCGAAAAAGTACATCCCGGCTCCGCTACCAAGGCTCAAACAATCGTACAGCTTATAGAAACACTGGGCTACACCATGATTTGAGGACCAAACGAGTGCTTCCTGGTTTCCCAAGATGGTCAGCGTCTTCCTCTTCAAGTACATGGCGGCTGTCCTCAAATGCAGGAGATTGATGCCCTGGCACTGATAGCAAGATTGGAGGATCGCAAAGCTCCGAAATGAAACGCTAACGACAAGAGATAAAGTTCGACTATCTGTTGTTGCAATGGAGAAGCATTGGAACCACTATTTGTATGACTATGTTGTCCGAGGCAACGATGATGATGGCTGGCGAGCTGTTCGTGATGCACCTTTCTTCGAGGATTTGCCGGGAGAATGCCTAGCTGGTATGATACCTACCGGGAGTTTGGACAATGGCTGGGACATTATGAAAAGGAATGGTTTTCTGACCCGTGCGCAGAAACGCAAGCTCTTGAACTCCAAGCGGTGGATCGTCCACTTGTTCGCAGGTGACATTGGACATTGGGAAATTATGCGCCTTGATCAGGGCGAAACCTCAGTGTTGGAGTTGGATCTGGCGCGGTGCACGGGCCATAGCCTGTGTCGGGAGGAAACCTGGAGCATGGTTCTTTGGGCAGCAAAGCACGGAAAGGTTGATGTTGTAATGGGAGGTCCACCAGGGCGAGTACAGCAGCTGTGCAAAGGTGAGGATAGAGACCCAAAGAGCTTGAAGTTGGTTGCAAGGATGCTTTGGTTGTTTGCGGTGGCTCAAGTGGGACGTGAAGTTCATGGGGTGGGAATCAATCGAGACCGTGATGTTGGTTTCATGCTGGAGTATCCAGAAGGCCTACCCACAGAGGAGCGGCTGGCACGAGAGCGGGAAGTTCTCGAGGCAGAAGAGCGATCGAGGATGCCCGTGGAGCGACCTGTTGTTGCTGGCTGGGATGCAGCAAGACGCTTCTGGGAGGAGGTGCAGCGACCAAGGTGGGAAGCCCGCGTAGGGGTGAATACAACCAATGGTCGGGTTTGCTTCTGGGACACCAGAATGTGGAAGCTGTTTCAGAGGGAAATGCAGATGCGGACCATTTCCTTCGATCAAGGGGCGATGGGAGGAAGTTCCAAGAACAGCACTACTCTTGGGACAAATATCAATGCTCTTATGTCCCTTAAGATTGATGGCGTTCGAGTTGATGAAGGGGATTCACTACCTGAGCGTGGAGACAAGGACTATGTGTGGACACCTGGGTTGGTTCGTGCAATAACGGTAGCGCTGAACTTCTGGAGCAGAGAGGCTAAGTGTCCACCACGGTTGTTTGCTATGAGTCCTACTCAATGGCGAGCACACGTAAATGGAAGCCATGCAGAATACAGAAAGGACTGCGCGACTTGTGTTATGTCAAGAGGGGTGGGACGACAGCATCGACGTGTACACCATCCTGAAGCGTATGTGCTCACTTCAGACGTCGCTGGACCATTGTCTCCTGGGCTGGATGCAACTTCGAAGGGCAGCATGGGCAAGAACCTAAAGTATATGTTGGTGGCCAAGTATATGGTACCCAGGGAGTTTATTACGGACTATTCCGGTGCAGCACCTGAGAATGATGGGGTGGTACCAAGGGAAAAAGAGGAAGTGGAGCCCACCGGGTGTGATGACAAGTTGGATGAGCTGTTCGGCTTGGACCAGGAGGAGGGTGAGATTGCCAAGGAGCTGACGGTCCCAGTCGAGATTGAGGCCACACCTGAGGGGATTAGTTCCGATGATCATCCGGATCAACTGGATGAAGACCTACAGGAGTATTATCCTTCCGAGGAGGAGACCGAGGAGGTTGTACAGGAGGAAGAAGATGATGATCACAAGCCCGATCCGGCTATGTGGCATGGAGATTGTGAGCCTCCTTCACTGACCTACCTTACGTTTGCGGTAGCACTACAAAACAACCAAGCAGGGACGGTACGCCGGGCGTTGCAGGATATCCTGTTGTACCTTCAACATCACGGACTACCAGTGTATCGATTCCACGCTGATAAGGGCGAGTTCTATAACCACATGCTCCGAAACTGGTTGAGGGATCAGGGGGTGCTCGCCACGTGGTCAGAGCCCGGCATCCCGCAAAGCAACGGACACGCGGAATCAACCGTGCGGTGGGTGAAAGACAGAACGAGGACGCTCCTCAGAAGTGCTTCGCTTCCCCTTCGGCTATGGCCAGTTGCAGCCGCAATGGCAGCAGCAGAGCAGCGAGCCAAAGTATTGAGGTGGAAAACAAGTCTGGCTGCACCGTTCGGATCTCCGGTCTACCTGAAGAAGAAGGCCTTCGACAAGTACGGGCCACTACGTCGGGAGATGGGGCTGGAAAGTAAATGGCTAAAAGGAGTGTACGTGGGATTGAGCACTATAGTTCATCATGGCCATCTTGTATACGTTCCAGAAAGTGGGGATGAAAGAGAAAGGTTTTTGCACACGCTCTATGTTCGGGCAAACCTGGTGGAGCCAGGTAATCCAGATGTGGAAGTGGTTGTGGATCAGTTACCGAAGCCGAGAAGAAAGATTACATCCAAGACCCCACTGGAGGAGATCGAGTTGAGAGCTGTAAAGCGAGTCCCGGTGGATGTTCAGGAGCTGGCTACCACAGCGGTTCAAGAGGTGCTGGACAACTGGGATGGGACAAGGGCAGTTCAAATTGTCAATGATTTGGCAACAGCTGGTTTCTTCGAGGAGCGGAAGTTTGGTGTGTTTCGGCATGGTGGAACAGTTGGGTGGCTATGTGGCATTGTGGAGTATCCTGCAGTGGCACGGTTGTTGGTGCAGTTGATATTGGAATCTGTACCGGACGCAGTGTTTACGTCAATTTATGTTTCTCACAACGCAGCCCGTTCTATGCACAAGGACAATAACAACGATCCTCACACTCTCAATTACGTTCTACCAGTACGTTGCCCAGAACAAGGTGGTGAGCTGTGGGTGGAACTTCAATCGGGAGATGTTCTACATGGACAAATCGAGAGGAGAGATACCTCCAAGGGCACAATATATGGTCAGATGTATCCGTTGTGCACAGGGGAGAGTTTCTCGTTTGGACCTCGACGCTTTCATGAAGTGGCTGAGTGGAAAGGAGATCGTACAGTCGTGATTGCGTACACCCCTGACTGTCTTGGGAAACTTATTAACCAGCAGGACTTGGAAAGTCTTCACGATCATGGGTTCCCGATCCCGCGATCTCAGTTACCAGAATTCCATGGAGGCAACCCAGTGAAAAGAGAACATCCTCAACTACAAGCACTGGACGCTAAGGCGTCGGATGAGGAGGAGTCTGATGCAGCTCAGTGGGAGATGTATTTGGATCTGGAGCCAGGAATGGTTAAGGTTACAGATGCTCATCAAGGCGAAGTTCATGAGCCAATGGTCAGCAAGGCGGAGCTGAGCTTCACAAGGGGCATTGAAGAGATCCTGAGTGGTCTCACTGGTCCACTAGACGTCACCTACAATGTGAGTCCAGATGAGGTGATGAGAGATCTAGAAAAATGGCGTCCAGCGATCCTATACTAAAAGAGGTCAAAGGGATTGAGGAGGCGATCACCAAGCTTCATCATGGAACAGAGCTTCGGCAACAGTGGATATCTACTCCAGGTGTGCAGCGACTGCCGATGAAATTCGTGTTTACAGTCAAACCCAATGACCGAGCCGACCTCTCGGATGCAAGTACATGGTACAAAAGAAAAGCACGGCTAGTGATATGTGGGAACCTGGCGACAAACGATGGGTCGCAGGTTTACGCTGAGACCGCACCGGCCGAGGCGGTACGGATGGCACTGACGCTCTCGAGTCGCAATGGTTGGTGTGTTGCCATTCTCGATGTGGTCGCTGCGTTCCTTCGCACCCCACTTGGAAGGTCACCTCGCGACCCTATAGTTATTGCCCAGCCTCCTCGACTACTTGAAGTTTTAGGACTTACACAGAAGCTGGAGCTCTGGGGACTCATCAGGGCACTGTATGGGTTGAGGGAAGCGCCAATGTTGTGGGGCCGGTTCCGCGACGATATGCTTCGAGACCTACATCTACCAGGAAGACTTCAGTGGAAGCAAGGTTCGACGATTACCTCCTGGTGGACGATTCGTGATGAGCAAGGAGCGGTACAAGCAATAGTGGTGGTGTATGTGGATGATTTTATGCTATGTGGACCAAAGGAGAGGGTGCAAATGCTGGGTGGGCTGATAAAGCAGATGTGGGATACGTCAGAGCTCACATTTCTGGGACCAGGGAGCTCAATCCGGTTTTTAGGCATGGAGCTCCAGAGGACTACAGAGACGGCAAAGGAAATTCACGTATACCAGCATGGGTATATTACAGAGCTTCTGAGAGCACACAATGTGGGTCCTAATCAGTTGGACAAGATTCCCATCACAAAGGACCTGGCAGCAATTCCCGAAGAGAACACACTGGCCGATGCACAAGTTGTCCGGTGTGCGCAGCAAGTGACAGGAGAAGTTCTCTGGGTCGCCCAGAGAACGCGACCTGACCTGTCATTCACGACGTCGGTGATGGCATCTTTGTGTACCAGAAGCCCGGAACAAGTTCTTGCTATCGGGGCTAAGGTATTGGGCTATCTGCAACGTACGATCGATTACGGACTGGTTGTTGCGTGGGAAGACAAAAAGACCTGGTCATGTTTTGTGATGCGGCGTTTGCGCCGCAAGGCGCAAGATCGCAGAGTGGATGGTTGGTGACTTTCGGAGGGGTACCGATATCATGGCGCAGCTCGCGCCAAAGCATGATTACTTTGAGTACAGCAGAATCAGAATTGCTAGCTATGCTGGATGGGGCAGTGGCCACAAAAGGAATAGAGGCCATTTTGGCCGACGTGGGAGAACAGGTTCGGACCAGAACAATTGCCTCTGATAGTATGGCAGCGCTCAGCATTTCGTCGGGATCAAGCTCATGGAGGACACGTCACTTGCGTATTAAGGCAGGGTGGCTACAAGAGCAACTGTCCCATGGACTATATGAAGCTGTTCATTGTCCCGGTGAGCGGCAACCAGCAGACCTACTGACGAAGGCCCTCAGTGCAGCGCGCATTGAGGATTCACTGAGGTGGTGGGGTATTGGAAGGCCGGGACCAGCGACAACAGCTACAAAGGCAGCGACGATGAAGGTTTCTGCTAGAGCAATGGTGGCAGTGCTGTGCTGCATTCTTATGGTGTCAGTAAAGGCTGCTGACCAAGAAGATCGGTCATCCTCTATGGGGAGAGCAATTCCGCTGGACTATGACATGGCGGGGATATGTATGATCCTTCTCATGGTCTTGGGTGCAACGATGATATGGGAGGGACTCAGATGGCTGTTAATCGAGGCAGTGAATGAGTGGACACCTGGTTCCAGGCAAAGAAAGCTTCGGAGACTTCGCAGGTTACAGCAGGCTACAACCGAAGCTATTGAGCGCGAACTGGAAAGGATGCAGCAAAGTACAGAGAATGCCCAGCAAGAACGGACGACCACTCCTACCGAAAGGAGGACATCCACAGTGATGCGGAGTACCTCCGAGTCAAGCTCGAGGGCAAGGAGGCGCATGGCTACAGAGGACAGTGATGGACATGTGAGAAGGGAGCAAGCAAGATTTAGAACTCCTAGCCCACGTTCTACAACAACCGCGATACAGATGCCTACTACCTGGTCCCCAGATACAGCTGAACCACCAGGAGAAGTTCAGCGAGTGGCCCAGGACATGTGCATGCTGATGACGTGCGAGGCTCTACGAGAGGGTTTGAGAACGGAGGGATTGCCCCTTTCGGGACTAAAAGAAGACCAAGCTAGGAGATTGGGCTGCAGAATCAGTGAGCTTGTGGACGCAGCCTACGGCCCAACGGTCAAACAAATGAGATACGTCCTATGGTTATGGCGTCACAAAGATCTTCAAGGTCGTCATCTACTCAAGTATTGCGAGGTGAACGATCGAGGGAGAATTTCAGCTCTCATACACTCGTGGAAGGGCCTATAGATGACAGGTCTAACTTTAACAAGCGACCTGAGGAGGAGTGTTGAAAGGCCTCCACTTTGTGCAGAGCTGGGTCGCACTGTGTATGTGCAGCTGTAACATATGCCATTTTGGCTACAGGCAACGGCTACGAAAGGGCCTTGAGTCAACTGTAAAGAACCTAGAAACCAGTGACCATTTGTACAACCCGAGGTCACAGACTAGGATGACTCAGACATGCCGAGAAGTGTACGTGCTGTGTTAAAAAGTTAGTGATTGCCCCGCGCGCTCTCAATGGAAGCATAAGACGTGGGACGGAATCTAGCTGGTGTGGAAGCTGGCTATTTGTAGGTTTAGGGTTTGGGTTTTTTTGTTTAGGGTTTAGGGTTTAGGGATCCGATTTTAGGAGGTTTAGGGTTGCTACGTCTTTGGAGCTACCTACAGTCTCCATTGTAGTTCCTTTTTTGGTTATTTTATATTACGGAACCTAAAAGGTAAACCCAAGAAGGAACTGCAATGGAGACTATAGGTAGGGTTTAGTTTCGGGCTTTTGAGAATTGGAAGAAGCCTAATTAGCCTGGGAAAACCTTCCGCGCGTCCAGGGACATGATAACGAGGTCGGAGCTTTAACATGCACTGAACTGCGCGGCGGAGTAGTAGTCCTTCCGATAGTGTCTGAGCTGTTCGATGTAGGGAGGTAGTGGCTCAGGCGCAGGCACCCTAATGTCAACCACGAAGATACCAATATCAGCTTCTGGGATTTGCCTCCGTGTCGGCTTCTTTCACCACAGCCCCGAGACTGGAACACTGAAACTCCAAAACTTCAATAGACCCGGGAGCTTCAACCCCGAAGGACCAAAGCCTACAGTAGAACCCCTAAACCATAAAAAAAAAAAAAAACCTCACAGTATACAAGCCCATGTAGAACATCCCCTGAGCCCTTAACCCAAATGGCATTTCAGGATTTGCATTTCTGGGCAGGAGCTCAGAAGCTTCTTGGTTTGGGCTCCTCTTCGGAAGCCTCTTGCGCAGCTCTTTCAAAGTCTTTGGGTTTAAGAGCGGTAGCGGGGCTTCAAGGAATTAGGGTTTCGGCTTCACGGTTCGTTTAGGGTCCGCGCACAGATGAAATGGATATCCCCAGCTGCCCTATTGCCTATGAACCCAAAAGCCTAAACCCTAAACCTCCAAACCCTGAGCTTCAACCACTAAGCCCTAAACCTCAAAACCCTGTATAAACCCTAAAAGCCCCGAGCCCTAGAAACCCGAAGCCCTATACACCCGAAAAAACCGATAAACACCTAAACCCCAAACTCCTAACCCCTATAAACCCCCCAAATAACCCCTTTTTTAAGGACTTATATAAAGACTTCATAATAAGGAACCCCGAAAAAAGTAGGTTCTTTAGGGTCCAGGTATAATCCTCAACTCCAGCAGCAGAATCTCACTGAGGCCGCGTCCCGCCAGCTTCTTCATGCCTGCCGGGGCACGAAGGCCGCGATGGGTTTATGAAACTCGGGCTTTGGCATCTAGTAAGGCTTAGAATTTAGGGTTTAGGGTTTTCAGGGTTTAGAGTTTAGGGGTTTAAGGGTTAAGGGTTTAGGGTTTAGGGGTTTCAGGGTTTAGGGGTTTCAGGGTTCAGAGTTTAGATTAGGAATTGAAGGGCCTGGGCTTGGGATTTACATCGGGCTGTAGCATTTATAGCGTTTATTGGCGGATTTAGGGTTCGGGGCTGAGGGTTGGGAACGTGGGGAGTCGGTCCATCGCATCGTGGCGCAGGGTTTAGCTCTAGACCTCGGTATGTCGTGAACTGGCTAGCGTGAATTAGCTTGGATTGCGTATATGCTGGCTCACTATGGAAATGATCTGGTGGCCGACCTGGTTTCGGGCAAACTTTGAACGCCCAGAGACGTGAAATAGTTTGGGGCTTAGATTAAACCCACCTGGCCCCCTATGGGGCTTAGCTTAGGCAAACACCAGCTTGACAAGTGCATTCCCAGCAGTGCCTTCTGCAAGCTCACCCACGGTGATCTCGCCAGGCTCACGAAGCCTCGCCACACACGCCCTAGCCCCGCAACCCCGAAATTCCAAAACTCTATGTCTATTTTCAATTAGGCTAACCGACGAACCCAAAAGTTGTCGCAATGTGGAGAGACCGCTCCTTTTGGTTCGCAAAACAAAGGAAGCTCTGAAGCTCCTGAAGACTCGAGTTTCGGAGCTTCGATGATGCAATGATGCTCTTGAGGACTCGAGCTTCCGCGCTTCGCTGATGGTCTGATCTGAGGGCTCGAGCTTCAGAGCTTCCGATGGTAATGGAGGCTTATGAAAGTCAGGTACTGCACCAACCTGCAGACGCAAAACTGTAGATGCCAAGGAATTACTATCCTTACGGTCGGCGCTTGCGTGACAACCTCGTCTCCCGAGGTGGGAAGTGGGATGCGGGAGGGACAACGAAACAAGTTGGGCTATGCATTAGATGACAATACTTGGAGAGAAAAGGAAGTGGTTGAAGATTTGGTCGGGAAAAGCCGGCTTAGGCGGCAATTGGGAACTAATGGACATGGAATGTAGGACTGGTGCA